GTCTTTCAGGTCAGGTTGGTTCTTTCAGGTCTTTCAGGTCAGGTTGGTTCTTTCAGGTCTTTCAGGTCAGGTTGGTTCTTTCAGGTCTTTCAGGTCAGGTTGATTCTTTCAGGTCAGGTTGGTTCTTTCAGGTCTTTCAGGTCAGGTTGGTTCTTTCAGGTCAGGTTGGTTCTTTCAGGTCTTTCAGGTCATGTTGATTCTTTCAGGTCTTTCAGGTCAGGTTGATTCTTTCAGGTCAGGTTGGTTCTTTCAGGTCAGGTTGATTCTTTCAGGTCAGGTTGATTCTTTCAGGTCAGGTTGGTTCTTTCAGGTCTTTCAGGTCATGTTGATTCTTTCAGGTCTTTCAGGTCAGGTTGATTCTTTCAGGTCAGTTTGATTCTTTCAGGTCAGGTTGGTTCTTTCAGGTCTTTCAGGTCATGTTGATTCTTTCAGGTCTTTCAGGTCAGGTTAATTCTTTCAGGTCAGGTTGATTCTTTCAGGTCAGGTTGATTCTTTCAGGTCAGGTTGGGTTTGTTGGAACTGATGGCCCAGTATCTGTGTACAACATAAACTATACATCAGAAGTACTACAGTACAAAAACACTAAGTACACATGAAATGAAGAGTTAAGTACTCCTGAAGCCATGAATCCAAACCTCAGTCTGGTCTGAGTGGGGTTCAGTGGTTCTGTAGACCTCATTGGGAACAGGTCTAAATGCTGAACCAGTGAAGATCTTTGATCTTTGTAAGGGTCAAACACTCAAAGATGGTTCAGAAAACTGAAAAGTTTCAGGATACCTGGACTGTCGGACCACCAGACCTGTTCTCTGGTTGTTCTGAGGTGGTCCTGAAGGTTCAACCAAAGACAACTGGACTCATTTTTGATTCTGTTGTCTCTCATCAGAGGAACGTCCTCAGATGGACCCTGGAGGAGTCCAGTGGTCTTTGGTTAAAGGAAGACCTTAATGAGCCCGTGAGGACCCACAGACCAGGTGGAACCCTTTGAGCAGATTGTGTGGGCGTACCTCGAGGTGGTCTGCGTGCAGCACGATGAAGCGCGTGGCGTTGACGCACTCCACCTCCACGCTGACCTCTCCGGAGAAGGTGAAGTTGTCCATGTAGACGGCGAGTCGCAGGTCGTAGTGCCGCGGCCTCACCGAACCAGGAAGCCTTGAGTTCCTCCAGGGCTGGACCGCCTCCTCGTCCCCCCTCTCCCCGGTCTTGTCCCCTCTGTTCCCGCTCAGCTTCCCGGACCCCCTGGAGCCCACGTCCCCGCCGGCGGGCCCTTTCCGATCGGGTCCGCCGCAGCCGTCGAAGCGCAGGCTGAGGACCACGGCCACCACCGTCACAATAATCAGGGTGATGATGGACAGGGCGAAGCCCAGCACCAGGCGCTTGTGCACCGTGATGTGGCGCTCGGTGGTCCGGGGCCGCACCACCACCGACTCCGCCCACTGGTCCGACAGGCCGCGGCCGTTCCGCATGGCGCCGGGGCTGCTGTCGTTCAGGCCCATCTGGCAGGAAACGTCAGTACGGGAACAAAACCACCTCGAAGTTCAGAGTCAGGAACGAACTGTGGAGCATTTATGATCTGACCCCTGACCTCTGACCTCTGACCCCTGACTCCTCCCCTTCTGTCCTTCAGCTCTGACCACAAACCCAGCTCCGCCACACGGCTTATGTTTCAGAACTGAATTCTGACGGTCGGGAGAAAAATCGATGCTCCGTCGCTGGATCTGGATAGAACAGGACACTGAGAGGAGGAGGAGGAGGAGGAGGAGGAAGAGGAGGAGGAGGAAGAGGAGGAGGAGGAGGTATGCTGTTGAGGATGTGACGGAACATCCATAGACTTTCAGCTGAAATCAGCTAAACTCCAACCCTCTGCAGAGCGAGCAGGAAACAGCTGAACTTCACTGGATTTCCTCAGATGTTGCATTAAAATAAAACTGATCAGAAAAATAAAACCTGATCAGAAAAATAAAACTGATCAGAAAAATAAACCTGATCAGAAAAATAAACCTGATCAGAAAAATAAAACTGATCAGAAAAATAAAACCTGATCAGAAAAATAAACCTGATCAGAAACACCTCGCTGTCCTCGGGTTCTAGCAAAGTTAGTCCTCTCCTCCAGAACTGCCATAAATCAACGGGTTTGGACCCTGGTGGGTTTAAACCCAGAACCCATGGAGATCAACAGAACATCTGGGTCACATGATAAAATCACATTAAAGAGACAAACTGATATTTGGTCAATTAGAAGAGGAATAAACAATCAGCCTTCATGCTTTTCTGGGTTTTATCACTTATTTTGTCCTTTTAGGTGTAATTAGTTGTTAAATAGAGTCCAGCTGGTAGGTGGGGGCTAATCAGGGGTCTCTGGTTCCTGTCTTTGAGGGGGGGTGGGGGTAATAAACAGCCGGCATGTGGGTTTATTTCACCGGCGGAGGGGATCATTCACTCCCTGTTCCGCCTCATGTGGCTGATGGATTAAACCCGGATTAGAGCTGATTGATAACCGGGGAGACGAAAGCCGGTCTGCGGGGCGGCGGAGCCTGAAGAACAGGCGGAAAATCCCGTTTCATCAACCGGGAAATTAATATTTATAACGGGATCGATGACGGGGCTTATTAAACCACAGTTCGGTTAGTTGAAATCCCTCCGCCGGTTGTTCGGTAACTTATTTTCCCGCCGTTGGGGACAGAGATATTAAAACCCCTCCGCGGGTGTTGGGCTTCTTTAATCCCGGTGAAAGTGGACCCTTTTCGGTCCATAAGCACCTGCTCTCGGTATCAGTCGGTCACCTACCAGCCCCCTCCGGAGCAGGTCCCGGGATCCGTTCAAAGCCTTTTAAAAAAAACATCCGCCGCGGCTCCGTTCACGACCCGATAGATCCACCCGGCTACAGCCCCTCCTCCGGTGCTCCCCGGTGTTCACCCGGAGCCTCCCGAACTTTTTACAGCCCCGGAGAGCCGCTGTTCCTCCTCCCTCCCTCCGCTCCTGATGATGATGATGATGATGCAGCTCCGCTCAGCATCCCTCCGGTCCGCCGAGGAGGAAGAGTTGTGGCGCCCTTTCAGCTCCGGGTGCGCTCGCGGTGTGCGTTCACAAACTGCGCACGAGCTGCTTCTAGAGGCGCGCGCTGACGGAGAGAGAGGGAGAGGGAGAGGGAGGGGTGAGGCGTCCCCACCAGACTTCATTCAAATTTTACTCCATTTTACTTCTAATGGCGCGAGGGAACAAATCTATAATTACTTTACTCAGTTATTAATTAAAGCTTTCCTCATAATGACAATTAGATTCGTTCTGCTGAGAATTAAATAAAAAATAAATCTTATTTAACGTTTTTACAGTGGAACATGCCATTTCCATTTCTTTAAAGTGCCTCGACATGCATACCGTTTAAACAAAAAGTAAAAGAAAACATCTTCATATAAAAGTAACCTGACATTACATATGATTTTACCCATTTTGTCACATAAATGGCATATTTTCTTTTGAATTTGGCTCAGTTCCTGAAACAGGAAGTGACATCAAAGGGGAACTTTTTGTAAAATAATAAATAAATAAATAACTCCATGGTCTTTATTTATTGAAATAATATTATTTGAACTCTGACAGTGACTCAAAATAGTAATAAAAAAGATTTGTCTCTACAGTTAGCTGTTAGCAACACTGTTCATAGAACTCTCCTCTGACATCACTTCCTGTTACTTCACGTGTAATTATCTCAACAACTGTCCATCTTAGCAGCATAATTTCTTTTGCAATATGTTGTTAATGTTATCTTTCCAAAAATGCATTTATTTATTACAAACATTTGATGTCACAGGCACTTTACAGCCAAGAAGAAAAACACTAAAATAAGTGTAGGTTATGCAAAAATTCTTACAATTTAGGCAACAAACACCAAAATTGTCATCTTTTCATTTAGTTCTCGTAATACCTCAACTATGTCATTTCATTAAACTGTTTTTTGGATTTTTATTAAAATCAGATTGAGATTTTTTCATTAAACCCAAACTGTCAAAACCAATTTATGTATTTTCAATAAACTCAGAGCGTCTTTTCTTTCATCCTAAACCACAAAACTGATTTAAAWGTTTTCAAACTCAATCCATGTTATTTTGTTGCTGTCCAGCCCTGAACTGTTCTTTTATTTTGATTAAATCCAGGTTTTTCAGTTTTTAGTTTTCTGTTTTGAGGAACCTTTGAATTTAATTGATTCATAATTTGTATTTCACTTTACATTTTCTAATCTCAAAGTGCAGCTAGACATCTAAAAAAGCTACAAAATAAAAACCTAAAAGCAGCACAGTAGAAAATATCGTTCAATACTAGAATCTCTTAAAAAGGAAGGTCGCAGTATTTGGGGGTATCTTCAGATGATCCACAGTTTGAGTTCAGTTTATTCCTTTGAGGCATTTAAAATGTCACTAACACATGTCCATTATTTAGCTCATTTTCTGAGTATAAAATCCAGGTTAAAAAATGTCCACTAACATTTTATGGTTACTTACTCTTCTTACATTTAGCTCATTTTTACTAATGTTAAATTCTTAATCTAAATCTAAACATTAAATCTTAAAAGTTGCAGCTAAATGATAAAACTAATTGAAGAATGTCAGAACTGTTGTGACGTCATCATCCTGCGACAAAAGCTAATGCTAACACTGTTAACACAGATCAATTGACAGAGCAGTGAGCAATGTTAGCATTGTGAGCAATGTTAGCAGCATTAGCAATGTTAGCATTGTGAGCAATGTTAGCAGTGTGACCAATGTTAGCAGTGTTAGCAATGTTAGCAATATCAGCAATGTTGGCAGTGTGAGCAATGTTAGCAGTGTTAGCAATGTTAGAATTGTGAGCAATGTTAGCAATGTCAGCAATGTTAGCAGTGTGAGCAATGTTAGCAGTGT